TACTTTTGGGAAGTGGTTGTTTGAGTTAAACCCTCTTTTTGGAAAGTGTTGTGAGATCAAATCTTTTGGGATAAATTATATATTTTTAAATGTATAATTTGGTATGAAAATTTACATATATATTCTGGAGTTATAAATATCCTTATTGGATTATTTTGAATATGGTATTAAATACTATTTTGGAACTAGTTTTGGATAAACCCTAAATTGTAAGTTTCTCTGCCAATCCAAAATTGTTTCCTCGTATTATATGCTTATTATGCATTATGTGATTAAGTGTGAATTGTGAATTTTGTGTATGTGATTTTGAGGAGATATTATATATATGGTAGTTGAGAAATATAAATTAAGTACTTTTTAGGGTATTAAATATTTTTAAATACCTTTGAGACTATTTAGAGAGATTGAGAAATATTTTTGGAAGTATATCTTGATTCATGATAAAATTAAGGATTTTATAAGAGATGAGCACCCGGGAGAAATCCGTGGTGTCGGTTTTTCCACATCCGGATAAATGTGGAGGGTGGTTAGAGCTATATACCGCGGGTTTAGTTTAGGTTGATTATTGGTGGCGGGAGAAATCCCGGTAAATATTGGTGGCGGGAGATTCCCAGTATTTCTTTTGAGAACTGTAAAAGTTCTTTGGTGGCCGCGGTAGTAGTTTCTAATTACCCGGGTTTCTAACTCATTGTGAGGTAGGGGGACGTTGTCCGAACTACTTAGACTTCTTACTACTCGGAGGGCTTGGAATCCCTTTTAGGGGGTGTGCACACTTAAGGGTGAAGTTCAGTTTCCAATCGGTGGTCGGTGGGAGCCGGAATTCCGGGATGAGTCGTACACAACAACGATTCATTGGGATCGAGGAATCTTGAGTTTCGCCCATCTTAAAAGAATCTAATAGTGATATTGATTTCGGAATGGTGATATTTTTAGCTACAAAAGTTATTTTGAAAAGTGATACTTGTATATGAATGTGTGAGTTACTAAGAGTTTATAAATATTATTTTAAACACCAAATTAGTTTTGTGGGAAGAAAATGAATTTTTAAAGTTATAGTTATGTATAAAACTATTTTCACCAAACGTGATTATTTTACGGGGTTGGGTGGGTCTTACTTAGCTAAAAAGCTAATTTTTGTTTCCTTTTCTTTGTTTTGTTTTCTGCACTTTAATTGTGCAGGTGATGAAGGTTATGCATGATGATGAGAGCTGCGTTAGATCACGTAGTTTAGTATTTATAATCATCTAGTTATTGTTTATTTCAGTTTGAGAACATGTAGACATTTAAATTATTTTTGAAATTTTCAGTACTTAAATACTTGGATTATTTTTGGATGGTGGTTTAGCCTGTGCATTCGGTTATGTGAGAACCGAGTGTGGCGGTAACACCCATTTCCCTATTAAGACTTCCGCTGTATCTCTGATGTTTTCAAATAAAGTTGATAATTCCTTTGAATAAATCATTATTTAAATGTATTTTTGGTTGGGGAAAATGGGGGTGTTACAAATTGGTATCAGAGCCTTTGTTTTTCAAAATCTTTTAAAGATTTTCAAAAAACTTTTTGAATTGAAATATTATTTTCATTAATTAGGACTAATGAATCTTATTAGGGAGGAATTTTATGGCTTAGGCGCGTGTGAGATTGTGTGATTGATTTTTTTGTTGTTGTATTTTGTGATATCTTGGATTGATTTGAGATTTGTGAATTGAATTGAATTTTTCCAATGGTTGCTTGTAGGTGTTCCTTATCCTAGAGTATATTGTGAGTTAGTAAACTTGAGAATAGTTATGAGTATATTCCTAGTATCCTATATCTTGTGATCTTAGGTAGAACTTGGTAGGGATCTGTAAGAGTTCCTAGTATTCTGAACTTTGCGTCTCTCTTTTGTAAGAATTATGGTAACCCATAGGAACGTGGTTAAGGTAAGTAAACTCTTAGTATTCTATATCTAGAGCCCTTTTGATAAGGTATTTCCTTCAGTGTTTCATCTCGACTGTGTTTTGACTTGAGCTTCAGGGACGAAGCGTCCTTTAAGGGGGGGAAATGTAATACCCCGAAAAATTTGAGAGAATTTGGGAAATAATTAAAATTGTGTTTCATATTGTTTACACGGTCTTTAGGTCGTTAATTATGTTTGGTTTAGTGTTTGGGACAAAGGGGAGGTCCAAATGGGGAAGAAACGGGGTAAAAACTAAGGTTTGGGGCGTCTGGGGGTCACGCACGGCGTGTGTGGAAGGTACGCACGCGTGCATTCCTGTTGTATCCTAATGCAACTCAAACTTCGGAAATTCACTATAAATACATCCCTAATCCGATTTTCCTCATTCAAAAAACCCTAGGACCTCCTCTTCAAGCTCTATCCCTTCCAGCTCTTCAATATTAACGTATCCAACACGAAATTTTATGCCAATGATGAGATCAAATAATCCAATATTCCGGTAAGTGCGTTTGTTGCCTAATTCGCGTCGTTCATCCGTTTCCTAAATTTCTTTCTCCTAAATTGAGATCCTTCGAACCTATCACTTCCTAGGTACGTGCGAATGATCCATAAAACTAGGTTTGACGTTTAGGATTCGTTGCTAGCCTCGAGGTAAGGACTATTGCAACCAAAATTACTATTTTGCCCCTATATTGTATAAACTAGGGTTTGTGCTATGATTTGAGTTTCTTTCTGAAATTTTATGGATAATTCGGCTATAATAGTATGAGTATGATGATGTATGCTTTTCTGGGAATTTATGAACGTGTGATTTTTGGTGAATTTATCAAATCAGTTTATCATGGCTAAAATTGTGATTTTTGATGATTGTTCTTTTGGGATTGGAAAATTTTGGTGATTGTTTTGGTATGAGTTGAAGAATGATTTGAGACTATTATAACTGGTTATATTGAAAATATATTATGGGTTCAGAATACTCTAATTTGATTATTTTGGCGGTAGTAGTAAATGCTACTTTTGGGAAGTGGTTGTTTGGGTTAAACCCTCTTTTTTGGAAAGTGTTGTGAGATCAAATCTTTTGGGATAAATTATATATTTTTAAATGTATAATTTGGTATGAAAATTTACATATATATTCTGGAGTTATAAATATCCTTATTTGATTATTTTGAATATGGTATTAAATACTATTTTGGAACTAGTTTTGGATAAACCCTAAATTGTAAGTTTCTCTGCCAATCCAAAATTGTTTCCTCGTATTATATGCTTATTATGCATTATGTGATTAAGTGTGAATTGTGAATTTTGTGTATGTGATTTTGAGGAGATATTATATATATGGTAGTTGAGAAATATAAATTAAGTACTTTTTAGGGTATTAAATATTTTTAAATACCTTTGAGACTATTTAGAGAGATTGAGAAATATTTTTGGAAGTATATCTTGATTCATGATAAAATTAAGGATTTTATAAGAGATGAGCACCCGGGAGAAATCCGTGGTGTCGGTTTTTCCACATCCGGATAAATGTGGAGGGTGGTTAGAGCTATATACCGCGGGTTTAGTTTAGGTTGATTATTGGTGGCGGGAGAAATCCCGGTAAATATTGGTGGCGGGAGATTCCCAGTATTTCTTTTGAGAACTTTAAAAGTTCTTTGGTGGCCGCGGTAGTAGTTTCTAATTACCCGGGTTTCTAACCCATTGTGAGGTAGGGGGGCGTTGTCCGAACTACTTGAACTTCTTACTACTCGGAGGGCTTGGAATCCCTTTTAGGGGGTGTGCACACTTAAGGGTGAAGTTCAATTTCCAATTGGTGGTCGGTGGGAGCCGGAATTCCGGGATGAGTCGTACACAACAACGATTCATTGGGATCGAGTAATCTTGAGTTTCGCCCATCTTAAAAGAATATAATAGTGATATTGATTTCGGAATGGTGATATTTTTAGCTACAAAAGTTATTTTGAAAAGTGATACTTGTATATGAATGTGTGAGTTACTAAGAGTTTATAAATATTATTTTAAACACCAAATTAGTTTTGTGGGAAGAAAATGAATTTTTAAAGTTATAGTTATGTATAAATCTATTTTCGCCAAACGTGATTATTTTACGGGGTTGGGTGGGTCTTACTTAGCTAAAAAGCTGATTTTTGTTTCCTTTTCTTTGTTTTGTTTTCTGCACTTTAATTGTGCAGGTGATGAAGGTTATGCATGATGATGAGAGCTGCGTTAGATCACGTAGTTTAGTATTTATAATCATCTAGTTATTGTTTATTTCAGTTTGAGAACATGTAGACATTTAAATTATTTTTGAAATTTTCAGTACTTAAATACTTGGATTATTTTTGGATGGTGGTTTAGCCTGTGCATTCGGTTATGTGAGAACCGAGTGTGGCGGTAACACCCATTTCCCTATTAAGATTTCCGCTGTATCTCTGATGTTTTCAAATAAAGTTGATAATTACTTTGAATAAATTATTATTTAAATGTATTTTTGGTTGGGGAAAATGGGGGTGTTACAGGGCTGGGGGGGGGGGGGGGGTAGACTAACAGGGCAAGGGGGTAGGGGGCAAGGGTCTGGGTAGGGTGGTGTCAGAAATTTGGGGTTCATTGGAATGGCAGTGATCGTCGGTGGTTGCCAAAGTGGTGAGGGCAGGTGGTGACCGGTGGTGACCGGTGGTGACGACTGGCAGAGGGCGGGTCACTTCGACGGTGGCAAGGGCATGTGGATTGGGAAGGGTGGGGGCAGTAGGCGGTGTCACTGTGTCAGTGTCACTGTGACGATGTCATTGTGATTCGCGATGGTGGCCGGCAGCAGTGGCGACGATAGTTATATGGCGGCAGTGACATCCGAAGTGACATCAAAATTGGATAGTGACATGAATTTTGTTGTCACTTTATTGTAGTCATATTTTTGTCCAAATGTAAATGTGATCACTTTTTGGAAAAAAGCTTTAATTTAGTATTATTAAGGAAATAACCCCTTTTTTGACCTTACGCTCAATCCCTCTTATAATTTTGTAAAAATTGAAATTCAAACTCCATGTAGCACCACCAACCAAACCTTGCAGCTTAACAACTTGCCTCATTGGGCATTAGGCATACCTTCCAAAATTTATGGAACTACGAGCATACACAAAATAACTATCCCAAATTCACTAGAAGAAGAACCAAGGACTTGCAAATAGGTAAATCGATAAGATGAATTCTCAACAACTTTTCATCACTAAAGAATGACTATTAAAAAAACTTAAAGGTAGTGCTATCTGTCATTACAAAACCCTAAATATAGCCCTGTGCAAGCAATAACATGTTTATGCAATGGAATGCCAAGGATGAGGAAAATTGAAAAACAATATCACAAAATTATGAGCTCAAATATCCTTTTTCAAAGAACTGTGGTATATCTGAACAAGCAAGTGGTGATGAAAAAACATGGGTTCAATAAAAAAAGACAACGTGTTTTCGAAATTCTAACTAACCGAGAAGACAGGTGCAATGGGTGTTCAAAAACGTTCTTGCACAGCGAGATTGAGGAATATCACCTACAGGGGACACTGGATGAGCCATAGAAGGGATTGCATTGGGGTCCACAACAACAACATCCAAGCCTTAGTTCCAAAAGAATTCGAGGTCGGCTAACACGGATAAACATATGACATCAGAGTTATAAAAGGTAAATAGAGAAAAAGAAGGACAAGCAACAAAAAACCAATTCTTTACATAGTCTCCCCCACTTTGCTCTCTCCAAAGTCATACTCTCATAAAAGGGGTCAGATTAGTTATAAATCAGTACCATTTAGAACATAAATGGGCAATCAAGAAAGAGATTTGAAGATGCACATCCAAATTTTGAAGGGATATAGAACTCAACACAGAAACTGTTATGACTAAGCAAAACTCTATCTATGCATCTAATGTACCTAGTTCCAACATCTTCCAAATCTGGACCAAAAACATATAATGCTTCAAATAAACAGACAAATATAAAAAGCGAATTGCAAGTCAAGAATATGAATTGTTTGGGGAGAAAAATATTGTACAAATGATTTCACTATTAGTACAAATGATTTCACTATTGCCAAAAAGTGTGAAAATCTATAGAGGTACTGCGCATTAAAATTTTATTGACACAACTGGAAATATAATAATATGTATACCAATGGCCTTAAAATCCCATGTATAGGTGGGGAGCATACCACCTGAATGGCTGCATGGCATGTATCATCATTCTTCATCATAAAGCATAGTGGGATGCCTTGGAAGCCATATTAGCAACTTGTGCCTGCATTTGCGCAGCCCTAACTTTTGAGGCAGTAGCACGCTGAAAGAACTGTTCACGAGACAAAAGCCTCACATTCCTCAAGTATTGATCGAAAGGTATGGCGCCATCCTGTATCGCCTTATCCAGTGAATAAATCACATCCTCTGTTGCCAGATCTGAGGCAGTGCAATCCGTCATCTGTTTTGAAAGAACATCACAAGGCTCAAAAACCTCACCAACCTCCACATTCACCAACTTGCTCAGCTTAGCTTCATTCTCTCTCACCCACCCTTCCAGTAAATCAGTGTTCATCAAAACCATCTGCAACTGCTGCTCCAATCCTTCTTTCTCATCCTGCATTTCTTTCAAACCTTGGCGCAATAGATTATCTCGCTGCTTCAAAGCAGATTGGGCATTGAACATGCCATCCATATCAGCTTCCCTGGCCTTCCTCAACCCTGCTATATCGCTATGGAAGTTCTCAACTAGCTTATTAATGGCATTGCGCTTATAAACATCGGCAGGATCATCCATTACCCTCCCAGAACCACTGCCAGTTCCATATGGGGACTGTGGAAATGCACGGGGAGGTATGGTGGGTCGGATTGCTGGGGCAGGACCAGTAGAAAGAGCTCCTATTGATGCATTATTTGCAAAACCGGCACTGGTTGAAGGGCTAGGGTTTGGATTAGGTCTGCGTTGGGAGTAGAGAGGGGGGTCGCGGCTGAAATAATGCCCCAAATTGCGAGCTAATTCAACAAGATTAGAGCTAGGGTAAAGCCAATTCTGAAGGAAAGGGATGGAAACGACGCCTGAAGGGTTGACGAACGGGTGAGGGCGCTTAATGATCATATCGCGAGTAGGATTGACGAAGACAAGGGGCGGGTGACGCGGGTAGGACTCCATGAGCCAGATGATGACGGGTATGTTATAGGTCACGCCTTGGAAGAGCATAGGGACAGTGCCGTCGGCCTGAAGGAGATTGACGGTGCGGCCATCGTTGTGGGTGAAGATGCCGGTCTTGGGTTGGAGAGAAGGGTATGCCTCGATGAGGGCGAGGAGGTGCTGACGGATCAGCCACTTGAGGTCCTCCGAGTAGGGCAGAGCCTCCGGGCCTCGCTGGGAGAGAACGCTACTCAAGAATTGCTGGGTGTATTGGGAGCTGGGAGAGGAGTGCCCCGGCGGCGGAACCATCGTGATCTGCGGCAGAGGAGAAAAGCGATGGATCGACCAAAGTCCCGAGGAGACAACTAGACAAGGGAGTCGCTTAACAATGTGGTGTTCCGCGTTCTCCCGGATTCAATTTTTTTGGATAAAGGGTAATTATATATATCATCCAAAAGAGTTTCTGTACAAGTAAAGCAAAAAAGTGGGGGACAAAAATGGGGCTATCCCAACATGGGATATACCATAGACCTGTGGGCTATACAATCAGTCCCAAATCACACAAAAAAGGCATGTAGCCGCACCCTATAAAATTTCAAAACGTAATAAGCTCATGAGGATAAATACTATAGAGGATCTTATACACCATGTATTGGATCCTGGCAAAAACTTCTTCCTCTTGGGTCTTCTTATCATCAAATCTGGTGGCATTCCGAACTCTCCATAACCAGTATATAGTATAGATGAATGCAATTCTGACTGCCTTGGCCTTGATCCCCGCACCTGCATGCTCCTTCCTAATCCACTTAACTGAGCTTTCCAGAGTAGACATTTGTCTAGGTATTCCAATCCATGCTCTTACTTTGCTCCAAACTGTGCCTGTAAATTGACAACCAAAGAAAAGGTGTGGCACCGTCTCCGGTTCACCCTTGCAAAATGGACAAATGTTAATCACATCAAGCCTACTAAGATTATCATACGTTGCAAGGCGGTTGCGGAAGGCAAGCCATGCAATGAATGAGAACTTAGGAGGTATGTAAGCTTTCCAAATAAAGGGCATCCACACCTGTTTAGTGCCCTTAACTCTAATCAAGTCATACACATTTGAAGAGCACAGTTTCCCATTTGTAACCATCTTAGAGAGGGCTGCTATTGTGGTCTCAATGGAGTCATATTTTGAGACAAGGATGTCTCGGATCAGCCCTAGCTTCTTAGTAAGCTGGGAGTCCCTAGTGTGTGGGGAAAATTCCCACACACATCTACCTTTAAGATAGACTCCATGCACCCATTTCACCCAAAGTGTGTCTCGTTTAAGGTGAATATCCCAAAGGGTCTTAGAGATTAAAGCATTATTCCAAGTTTTAGTATGTCTTATACCCAAGCCCCCCTCCTCCTTTGGGAGACACATATCTGCCCAAGCAACTCTGGCAAATTTGCATCCCCAAAAGAAAATACGACAAATTGAGACCACTCTATCAAGGATGGCTTGGGGTATAGGAAACACCTGTAACCAAAAAGAATGTACTCCCTGAATAACAGATTTAATCAATTCAGTTCTACCAGCATATGACAAAGTCTTGGTGTTCCATGAGCTGAGATAATCAGAGATCTTTTCCAAAAGGGGGGCATATTCAGCTATAGCTAGTTTAAGGGGGGAGAGGGGAATGCCGAGGTACTTGACAGGGAAGGCTCCAACTTTGAAGTCCACCAAGTCAAGTATGGCCGTAAGGTCATGGTCTCTAACACCTCCCAAGAAAATATTAGATTTGTCAAAGTTAACTCTTAACCCTGATACCTCCCCAAACTCATTCAATGCATCAATCAAAACTTTAACAGAATATGTATCACCTCTACAAAACAACATAAGGTCATCAGCATAGGCAAGATGTGAAATCTTTAAGCTACCACACTTGGGATGAAAGTTAAAATCAGATGTAGTTCTCAAGTTTAACAACCTTGACAAATATTCCAAACATAAAACAAATAGGAGTGGGGACATAGGATCACCTTGTCTTAATCCCCTCTTCCCTCTAAAAAAACCATGTAATGTTCCATTGATGGAGATAGAAAAGGAAGCGGTAGAGACACATTCCATAATCCATTTAACAAATTGTAAAGGAAAACCAATGTTAAGGAGTACACTGTAAAGAAAGTCCCAAGAAATGGTGTCATAGGCTTTCCTGAGGTCCACCTTAATCATACACCTGGGGGAGCAATGCTTCCTAGTGTACCCCTTTACCAATTCCTGTGCAAGGAAAATGTTATCCATCATAAGCCTCCCATCTACAAAAGCCCCCTGGGCATGGTCAATTAGCCCCGGTAAACATGGAATCATTCTATTAGCAATGACTTTAGTAATGACCTTATAAAGAACATTTGTACATGCAATTGGTCTAAAATCAGCAGCTGTGGGGGAGTGTGAGGTTTTAGGGATTAAAGCAATAATCGTGTGATTGATTTGCTTTAATAACCTGCCAGACTCAAAGAAGCCCCTCACGGCCTCAACCACATCTTCCCCAACAATTGACCAATTTTCTTTAAAAAAGGCAGAGGTAAAACCATCTGGCCCTGGGGCCTTGTCATCCCCAATATCAAACATAGCATTTTTAATCTCAATGTCTAAAACGGGGGAAATCAGCCCTAAAGCTTGGTCCGTACCTAGACATGTCCCGGATGTAATTATCCTAGGCTCAATTGGAGGACAACTTACCGGGGTTCCAAACAAATTGACATAAAAATTCTCAAATTCCTTAGCAACTTGATCCATAGAGGTAGTTAGTTCCCCATTGGCTAGTTTTAAAGCCGTAATGGAGTTCTTGGCAGCCCTCTTCTTCACAATAGAGTGGAAGTATTTGGTACATCTATCCCCTTGGATCAAATGAATAGCCTTCGCTTTTTGCCTATAAAAAGCATCCTCGGCCATTTTAAGAAAAAGCACTCTCTTCTTAGCTACTTCGACATCATTCTTTAAGGTATCATCCAAAGGGGAAAGTAAGAGAAGACTATGTAATCTCTTAAATTCTTTCTTTGAGTCCTTTACCTTAGAAGAAATATTAGCAAAAGCATTCTTGTTAAGTTCCTTGAGTGGTTTCTTAAGAGCTTGGAGTTTCTTAACTAACCGAAATTGGGCATTGCCCATTACATATATAAACCAATTCTCATGAAGTATAGAGGGAAAAGACTCATGTTTAAGCCACATGTTGAAAAATTTGAAGGGTTTTGACCCCAAGGGGGGGTTATGGCCGAAAGTAACCAATGGTGCAACATGGTCACATTCCACCTCCATATCATGAAAATGTGTTTTGCAAGTGATACCATTAGTATTCCAAAAAGAATTCATTAAAACTCTATCCAACTTAGCCCAAAGTGAACCCCTATTCCAAGTGAAAAATTCACCGGTGGAAGGAGTGTCAATAAGGTTTGCATTAAGCTTGAAGTCAACTAAGTCTTGTAAGTAATAAGCCGAGGGTGGTGTGGGGCCAATCCTTTCACTAGGGGAAGAAACACAATTGAAATCCCCCATAACTAGCCAAGGACTACTTATGGTAGATCCCAAATTGGTAACGTGATCCCAAAGGGTTCTCCTCACCCCCACCGAGTACAAGGCATAAACAAAAGTAACCATAAAATTCAATTGTGTAGTCTTACACACACATTTGCAATGAATATGTTGTTTGTCAATTTCAAGCACATCTATGTCAACATAGTTCGTATTCCACATAAGGGCCATGCGGCCACCATCTATAGTATCAAAATTGGTAATAGAAGACCATAGTGGCCATCTATTTTCCTTAAGTTTTTCAAAATTAGAAGTAGACATTTTAGTTTCAAGCAAACAACACATATGTACATTATGAGCACGAATAAAATTAAAGATAAGAGATTGTTTTGAGACCTTATTAAGGCCTCTTATGTTCCATGCCGTAATGATCATTAAACAATTGAGTTGGTTCCCCCATCATCCTTGATCCTCTTTTTCCTTCCTTGCCATGGCCTTTTCTTCCATGTGTTGCCTTGAAGGCCATTTTCGCTAAAATACCTACCAAGAAAAAGATGATGAATATTACGCATAAAGAAAGCATCAAAAGCATACCCGTCCTCTATTTGGATCACCCCAGGCAGCCCCTCTAGGCAAGCTTTAGTGAATGTAATCCCCGGTGCATCCAAGTCATCGGTGATTGAGAGGCAATTATCAAGTCTCACAAGCTTTTCCCCCGGCTTCATGGTTAGTTCTAGCTCATTCATGTGGGCCATGTGAAGATTGGGAGGCTTCCCTTCAATGAAATCTACTTGAATGACCACATCATCATGGTAGCTATCTCGGATATCATTGATAATTCTTACTTCCAAATCAACATCCTCCTTCTCTTCCTTTGATGTCCCTTGCTCCTCTTCTTTGTTAGCCATGATTTTGTCAAGCTCATCCACTAGTTCTTCTTCTTTTTGTTCTTCCCTTTCAATGTTAGGTGTGGCCAAGATCAAGGCAAGGGGGTTTTCTTCTAAGATTGTGGCTTCCTCTTCAATGATCTCCCCCTCTTCTCTTTCCAAACTTTCTGCCACGGGCTGGTCATGGCTGCTCTTGGTGGGCTCGGCCTTTGGATGCTCCTCATGATAGCATCTATTCTTAGCTTTGATAGTATAGATTTGCCTTCTTTGTTCTTCTCTTTGAAATGTAGTGTTTTTCCTTGGTTCTTGGGGGGGTACTTCTTCTCCTCTTTCTTTCCTTTCCAAGTCATGGAGTGTTTTACATGTGAAGGGGTGATGGCCGAACATCTTGCAATGAAAACAATAGTTTGGAAAGGTCTCATACACTACGCCTTGGCTATAGATCTCCCCGGATGGAAGTTTGACATCAAATTGGAGTGGAGGGGGCTTGGCCGCATCTACTTCAATTAGAACACGAGCATATGAAGATCTAGCTTTCTCTTGTGTCACCCTATCCGTAGCCAATGGTTTACCCACTCTAGAAGCCACGGCACTTAGGATATCCTCTCTCCAAGCCCTCATGGGCAGCCCATGAAATTTGACCCATATAGGCACTTTGAGGAATTCATCACTATGTGTTGAGAAGTTATCATCAAGGACTTTCAAGTAGCACATTTTCCCATAGATGGAATGAGGTCCATCTAGAAGGACTTGATCCCTATCCGCCTCCCTTTGGAACTTGAAGATAATCCATCCTTTGCTATGTGGTCTAGCTTTGCAAGGAACCCCCCATTTTTGGATCATAGCGTTGACTGCCCTAGGTCCGGGAAACACCCCTACAAAGTAGCCAACCAAACAGTACCCCCATAGCTCCACCATGGAGGGAAGTGTGTAGTTAGAAAGGTCAACCATATCTCCGGTAGGTGGGATGTAAGTAAGTTTCATTCCTTGGGATGGTTCCCTATTATTAGTAAATAAGGAGGACCATGGTTTAGGGGC